CTGCGGTTTTGGTTTTTCGATAAATGCTTCTCGACGCTGCAATAATACGGAATATCCTATTTTTTGCAAAAAAAATGAAAATTTAGCTTCAACTGCAACAATGTCACCATCCTTCTTTCATGGTAATCAAACAGGCGAGAAACCGAAATTTTGCGATGGTACTGACAGATCTTTTGGCGCACTAGAACCGCGAATGTCTAAGTTTTCCCATATTGCGGCAAATTTCAAATTGCAAAAAACGCACGACCACGTCGGAAATACTGGTCTGCCGTTACTAGGTTTTATTTTCCCCGACATTTCTATGCACACACCTTTTTCAAGACTTACGAATATGATTACTGAAGTTAGTATTCATCACAAAACAGTAAGCGCGGGTCAGACACAAAGTGTAGGAGGGCAGAAATGCCGTAGGTTTATTTCCAGAAGAAAAAGAACACCTGTATATTGGAAAATATCGCCATCTTTTAGTCATCCAAAGCAAAAGCAAAAATTTACAACCTTCAGGAGGTCAATGTTGAACCGCTCCTTCTCCAGCAATTGCTCGCTAGTGATAATTTCATTTTTCGCTACTGGTTTTGGCCGATCAACGATGTAAACACGTTTCCACGTGGCCGAATTTGGTGAGAAGACAACCTCACGTGGATCGCTCGACTCGGACATTGCCGTAATTGGACGTGTCTCGTAAACACGCATAAATTGAGGCTGTGGGCTCTCCTGCAAAAATATGTAGTCAGCTTTTTCTACGGTGATGAATTTTACAGTGCACTTTTGTGAGAAATTTGTTGTAGATCCCATCAGTGTTTCTTTGTCTTTCACCAGTGCCGAGTGAAATGGTTCAACTACAGGCGGATTCAGGATGAGCTCCTGGGAGAGGAAGAAGGAGGGGGAGCGACGAGTGGGGATTCTATCGAAGACTACCCAGGAAAGGAGTGAGGCACCTGGGGGGAGGGGATGCGGGAAAGAATTTTCTTCATTTTTAACTTTAGACCCTGACTTTTGTGGCATTTGTACCTGTACCACGGGGTAAGGAAGAGAGGGCGGGGGAGGAAGGAGGACAGAAGGCTCGTTGCCCACCTCCTCCCCTCCTTGGATCTGCCTGTGCGTTCAACCATCCTTTCTAATTACAATGTGGTCCCTTCTTCGCTATGTTTCATACACATTCAAAATATCGGATAATATCCTACCAGTTTCCCGGAGCAGATCTACCATGAGATCAAGCCTCAATGGTGACCGACAGTTGTAGGTGATATCGAGAGGTTCAAGCCGTTCTGTTACGATATTCATTGAAAACAGAAATTTCGCAGCAATATTTTAGTCCCCCGTTATTAATTTGTAAACGAGAACGAAAGGCACTTTTGTAAGCTAATCCTCACTTTAAGTAATTTGAAAGAAAAACGCAGGAAAGAAATACTGTTGCAAACGTAAAAACATTTATCGATGTTAAGCAAACCTCCAGTTGCTGTTTACGTTGTGCATTTCGGTCAATTTCTCGTAATTCTTCACGTG